ATCTGCCTGTTCTTTCAGCGTCTGTCCATCTGGTTGCCTGGTTTTAGGACGTCAAACTGAGCTGACAAACACTGACACCGCCCACCCCCCACCCCCATCCACCCCAACCCCTCGGTGTCTCTCCTACTTTTCCACTCACTTTCATGGGGGTTTACTTTCCTTATCAAGAAGAAATGTCATGGGCGTTTGGCAAATGCCATACCTTTACAGGCCTAATATTTCTGACTTTTCCTGCTGTTGTACTACAAAACACCAAGAATATTTGCAGTTAGCAGAACATCAAACAGCCTGTGTGCCGTGCACCGCATGGTTAAAATGAAATCTGTCATCATGGAAGGAATTGAGAAGATTCGATGCCTTTGCCTGCAATATTTCCCCTAGTTTAAAACATATCATGCAGAAAAAATATATAAAATGAAGGCAGGCCCCTAAGCGCTCACTTATTTCCCTGATAGGCTGATAAACGTACAATCTGCATATCAAGTCTTTTAATGGTTAAACCTGAGTGTTGGGCTGAAAAAAATGACATCAAAGCTACATAACAAATCCAAGTGTCAGTGATAACATAGCGTAAATCAAAGGACTGTCACCCTCATTCATTTCCAGATGCCAGATGGCTTTTATGAAGAAAAATGCAGCGTGTCACAATCAGTTTTGTCCCGTGACCCCGCAGTAATGGTGTGAGTGTATAAAGTAATGGGCTGTACACAAATCCCTGCCCTGTATTGTCCACTAATAGGAGCGCCTTCTCATCAGGGCCACGTTTCCCCGTGTCTCTACAAAAGAAATTTGAAGGAGGATGGGGAATGAAGAACGAGGCGAGAGATGAAGATGTGCGAGACAGAAGAGGGGCATGGGACTTTGGAAAGCAACTTGAAAAAGACTTGATTATAGGGTGAGCAGAGGGAGAGGAGGGATGACTTACATGGAGACAGAGAGAGTGAGGCGCAGGAGGAGGGAGAGAGAGAGACTGAGCGAGAGAGCGGCATTGAGAAGCAAATGAGAGAGAGAGTTTCAAAGAAATTTCATTTATATCATGGCATTCTTGAAGCGCGTGCCAACCTCACCCTTATCAAATACCGACAAGTGGCAGCGTGATACATAAATAGAGGCAGCAGGAAAAGAACATGTCACGATGATACTCATCTCACTCTCTGGTAAATATACTTTACACACCATGTATTATTGATACACTCGTATTCGAATCCGAGCCTGAAGTCTGTTTTCGCTGGGCTGTCATGATAATATATCAACTTTTATCAGCTGCTGGTTGGGATCCAATTAAATCTGGCGCTAACATCCAGTTTCCCTCAGGGTGAGTAAACCGGAGAGTGTTATAGACCAGGAAGCCCACAGTTGACCAGCTAAAAGGTCAGCTGGGACTCCTCTACATGTGGAACTGGTTATTCTACACACCTGCAATCCACTTTGCAACCCACCTTCATCTCCAGCCTTTATATATAAAGGCAGGGAGGTGCATTGCCTGCTCTGAGGCCATTTACACAAAGCATAAATTTCTGAGTTTTTAGGATGTGAACTTCTCCTTTAACGCAGCGGTCCCCAACCTTTTTTACCAGTTAAACCAGTACAATACCAAAAAACAGAAAATTTATTCATAACACACGAGAAAAGACCCAGGGAAACCGAGTTAACGATAAAAACGATGTTTTAAAAAAAGGATAAAAACCGGTAAAAACCCTGAAAACCATAGATTTTACACCCAAGCCTCAACTCTCGCGGCCCAGTACCGGCCCGTGAGTCGCCCGTAGGTTGGGGACTGCTGCTGTAACGTATATACACACCAAAAGTCAGCACCAAGCTATCAAACCAGCATCAGAAACAAGACGAGCTGGTTCTGATGTTTCTAAACAACAGAAAGAAAAACTGAGATTCTGGGTTCATCTAATCCTCCCGAGAGGTAAGAAGCAGGGAGAATTTCATGGTTTGGTCCAGGAGTTGAAGTTATATCAGAGCTGCTTTTGTACATATTTCAGGGTAATTTAAGCTCTTTGGCAGAGTTGGGACCACATCTGAGGAGGCAGAGAAATCATTTCAAAGCTGACTGACCCTTACCTGCGTCTAGCTGTGTCTGAAATAAAACAGTATTATATTACTATTTGTATATTCAGTACCGATGAGTGTTTTGAGATACGAGCGCACTTGTTGCCAAATGCAGTGATCTGATTGGTCAAATCTGTTTATTTGCATCTGAAAATCTTTAAAAATCAAGCTTAATCTTAAAAAACAAAATGCAGCACGCCTGCATTAAAGATAGATGAGTCTGAAAAATATTTTTAACATACAATATATTTGTACAGATTTAGAGTTAATGCAGAAGGGATGAGAGGGTCCAAAACAGAACCATACCAATATATATCAGTATAGATGGAAGTATCCAAGTTAAATAGCTTTGGGGATTCATTGGTTGCTGGAAGTTGAGAGAAGTTTATGTTGGGACCTGCTCACTTCAAGTCACTGAGCATAATTTACCTCCCACTGTTCACCACATCGCTGCAAATCACTTCCAGTGTTTAAAGCTGTTCTAAGATCTTAATTTTGTAAAACTTTTGAGGCCTGTTGCCAAATTTGTTGTTATTCTGGCGTTGACTACCACTCACAATGTGGGGTTACAGTTTCCTTATGTTTTAAACTGGATGTGTACACCTGTGGAAACAATATCAGACTTGTACTTGTTTTACATGTGGACCAGAATAATAATAGCCCTCAGGTCAGAAATTAAGCCTCGGAACGGTTGGTGATGGATTTATATCTCACACTGTATAACAGCTGGTGGAGCCGATCGGAGGAGAAGCGGGACTTTGTGGTTTTCTCTGCTACGGTAACTGGGTCAAGGAGGATGTGTCCTTGAGGCACAAACTGTTCTGGTCATAAAAACAAAGCTGTTTAGCATCTGGTTTGTGTGTGCTTCTGTACGATTGGTCAGCGGGTAATTGATGACGGTATTGCTAATTAACTGGCTGCTTTGCCCTCATTAGAAACCAGATGTGTTGATTTTGGTCAGGAGAGCTAGAGCCTTTTAAATTACTTAATCTTACAGAACACAGACTAATAATTTTAACCCAAAGAAAAGTGATCCACATTATTTTGCTGTGCCATTTCCGCATGTTTCTACCTTCCACTCTATCTGTTTAAAATGACAGACTTGCTCGTTTTTCCAGTGTGAAACGTAAAAACGAAACCCAAACAGTAGTCCCCTGTTCTCTCAGTCTCAGTGGTTTCTGTTAAAACTAGGCCATGGGGATATTGAGAGGTATATACCAATCAGCCACTGACCCACTGTCGAATGCGGTGAATAAAATTTATCGCCCAGCTATTTGGATTTCTAAACAGAGGGCGGATTTTAGACAACTTTCAACTCAAAATTGAAATGTGTAAAAAAAAGGCTGAGAGTGTAGACTGTGTGTCTGCGTGGGAAGAGCAGAAACGGTATGAGTATATGCAACAAGTACCAGATATAAAATAAATTGTACTCCCAAATATCATTAATTGATTGATGAATGACTGATGGAAAAACCAATAAGATGTAGATTAGAACAGATTAAGACAGATGGTATGAGGCGGCTGTAACCGCAGTCCTGTGTCAGATATAAACTGATAGCAAGCATGTTGTGAAACTGTCCAATAAAATAAGTAAATTACAGAGAAGTGAGGCAATATTTTTTCCCAACAGCCACACACCCGAGTGTGTAATCAGCAATAATCAGCACTCACATCAACTGATTTCTTCAGTTTATGGAAGCACTGATTAGCCTTAATAAATCATCAAATCTGATAAAATACATTTAAATCAACAAATTTGGAGTTTAGATAAGGCTAACTTTTGAAAAACACATCAAAAAGAATTTGAAAAACCTCCAGTCATCTCTAATGTTTATTAGTGCATAATAGCAACAGAGTGATTTTAAAATCAAACTAATGACGGCTGAAAGGAAATAATTTCACTACAATGCAATGTTCCACTAAGAAATCGTTGGTCTTGACATTCATGCACATTTTGCTTTGGCACATACCACCAATCTCACCACTGTTGCACTCAAAGTACCCCAACACTCCATATAGCAGTGCTCCCCAATGGCCGCTGCCTTCCGCTAGCGGGACGATATATTCTGGCAAACCACAGAAAAAGCTCAGCAACAGCTCAAGAAACATAACAAACCATCCAGCCTCGCCAGACCCCAATCAATCAATCAGTCAACCAAGCATCTACAAAATGCACTGGAACAAGCCCGATCCGCAGAGGCCAAAATCCATATTTCACAAGGCCCAAAGGGTGCCAGAGACTGCAGGACATCCCCAGAAGAATTACAACTAGCTTGGTGGCACAAGGGGAACCAACGTACATGTAATGGCAGACGGTTTTAAAGTTGATTAAACCCTCACAAATAATCGACTTATTTAGTGAGTTAATTCTTTTCTGCATATTTGTGTGACTCATATAGCATGCTGGGAGTAAACAAAGCCATATCTAAATGCAAAAAATAAAATAAAATCAATAATAATAATAATGAAGTTCCCTACACCACTTGAATGTGTGTTATCAGATTTATATCCATATTTTGCAATGGTGCTCCCTCCCCTCTACGTGATGTTTGAGAGGTGCTTCATCAGAGGCAGAAGTTTAACCAAGGTCCCGATGGTGATCGTCTCTGCTGAGACCCGGGACAGCAGTACAGTGCTGAATTTCAGTCATATGCTCAGCCCAAGGTCAACCCTTTCTCCTTCAGGTTGAGGGATTTTGGCTTAATGCATTTTCATGGGACTGCGTTCAAACTTTGTGAACAAGTAAACAAGTTTGAGAGCACGTTACCCAAATGAACAGTGTGGCTCAAGTCACTGTGTCTAACCTGGGTGTATAACACAATATATATTAAACTTGCGGGCAACTTGAACTTGTTTAGAGAATCAATGCATTGCTAGTTTGGGCCTTTTTTTGTGTTAACGCTGGCACATGAAGACTTGACAATGAAAAATGTTCTTACTCTGGACAGGTCTCCAACCTCCAGGTAAAAACAGATGATGAAAACGTTCCAGGTCATCCAGACTACGAGCCAGGCTGCATACTGCGGAGAAACAGGCAGAGAGATACGCAGAGAGGAAAGTGAGATTCCGACAAGACTTGACAAGCCTTTGTTAGAGAATTTAAAATGCATCTTGGTGTCTTGCATTGGGACTGGGTGAGACGGAGAGAAAGACAGAGGGAGGCTTCACTTTTGATGTCGTTGAGATGCAACGAAACAGAAACAACGGCAAATAGTACAACTGATCACCTGAATCAAACCAGACAGGAAGAGAAAATGGATAGCGGTGTTGTGTGTATGTGTTTGTGCAAGTTATAAGAAAGCGAGAATGATTTTACAAGCTTTGATACAACTTTCAGTCTCTTTCATTAAATGAATCTTCTTACTAAACCTTGTGTGTCTACTTGAAGGTCTTCTGATTGGATTAACACAATGTGGCAATGTGAAGGGGAGCTTTGCACTAATCTGCTAATTCCTCCTCAAAAGTTCTTCCTACTCCCACTCTGTTCACACCATCTTTTT